TCTTTTTCACTGCTAGACAAATTAAGTGGCATTTTCTTACAATGATAAGCTATATAACAATGAATTAGCAGGAACTGTAGTCTTTCAGTGTTACCCGTTTATCACCTCACCAGCTCATCACCTACAAAATTACTTCTGTAATTTAAGAGCGACAGATGTCTAAATGTTGGAAATACTGTTGGAAATCCACATGCAGTCAAACTTGACGCAGGAAGAAAATGACGTGCTTGTAAAGACACTTAATGCTTATTGAGGCCAGAAGTTTGAGGAGCCGTGGGCTGACCAGATTTTGTAGTTTAACGTTTAGCTGTGAATGTACAGGTTGGAGGTAGATACTGTAGACCTCTCTGTCTCTGAAGTGGGATTCCTGTTTGGATCAGGAAACATTCAAAACATTCCAGCCGCTTCTCCTATACGTCAGAGGAGTGAAAGCATTACTTTGCCTTGTTCCTGTTTAAAAATACTATGAACAGCAGCTACGTCATAGGCGTGCAGTGGCATGAGATAAACCAGTTTGTCTTTCCTTCTTTTGCCTAGCCTGTGAATAGTAGCTATTCAAAGATCCAGTGAGGATAAATCCATGTTTGAAAAATATGGATGGCATGGTAGTGTAGGTTGTACAAGCACTTGGAGGTCTTCCCGTAAAAGTTGACAATTCTTTGTTTTATCTTTTTGAATGCAACAGCTTCACTGTGATGCTATGTTGAGCCTTTCAAACGACTGAACTCGCCGTCCTGTGTTGAGTAACATTTTTTTTTGCGTCCTTAATAGAGATGCATCTTTGATGGCTATGAGAAGGCGTATTGAAGGCTTGACACCAGAAGAAATAAGAAATCTTTCCCGAGATGAAATGCACATGCCAACAACTATGGAAGACTTCGAAATAGCTTTGAAGAAAGTTTCTAAATCTGTATCTGCTGCGGACATTGAGAAATATGAGAAATGGATAGGGGAATTTGGATCATGCTGAGTTGTCTTGTCTTGAAGAAGCCACCTTACGTCTTAAAACAGCTTTAGAAGTAATAAGTAGTGTGTCAGTGCACTGCGTGCTCCTTTTAACTTTTGTAATTTAAGAGCAACAGGTGTCTAAATAAATTTCTTTTTTTAAAATGCAGATTTTGTCTAGCTCTCTTTGAACTAGCTCAAAAGTTACCTGTTTTTCTCAAATGTGAAAGATACTGATGGGGTCTGCTTTGATCGCCAAGATTTTAAAATGGCTTAAATTTAATACTCGAACTCCTGCATCAGAAGGTTTACTCTAGAAAAATAGCTATTATACCAAAAAAACCCCAAAGTGGCCCTGCTAAAAGAATAAGGGATGCTGAGAACTAGAAAATGGGATGAACAAGACGCAGTTATATAGGTGGTTTTGCTAGCTGACCGTAGAGAATTCTACCCTTAAACTGTTTCTAAGGTATTAATAAAGAACCTGTACAAACAGCGACTCTTGTGCTACTAACAGTCAATGGACTCAGCTGAAGTTTAAGCAGGGGGGTAGGGTCAGCGCTGGCTTACAGTATCTCTGAAGTAACATTAAAATACCTCCAGCCAGTGTAAACTAACTGTGCAGCCAGCAGCGATGCTGAGTCACGCGTGTAGCCTCCTTGCAAGTCTGAGAGAAAACAAAGGCTTTCTGGCATTCTGAAATACGGTTTCCTTCCTTGACTGCACGGTACCGTAAGCTCCAAAACTCTAGGTAGTTGGGTGGGTTGGGTCCTGGTTGACACTACACGTTTATTCTGGTAAGGCTGTTCTGAGAAAGCAGGCTGCGTGTTACGTTTGTGCTCAGTCGATTTCTGTCCATAACCCCAACTTCACAACTGATGTAAAATCTAAATTCTCTTTTTGCATTACTTGACAAGTGGAATGGAGAAGCAGTTCTCTGAGAATGGTTCTACAGTGACCATTTAGGTCAAAATTTTCGATTTTGCTCAACGGTGGTCGCTGTAACTAAAACATCTGTCATCTCTGTCCAACTCCTATTATTTTGGAAACGCTTCTTCCTGCTAGCTCGTCTCGGAGCGGCCAGCTGTAGTTCTGCTTACAGCTAAAGCTCATGCTTTTTCATGGATCGGATACGCCTAGACTTGTTTCAGCTGGTAGATAACATGCTGTACGAAACTGGCTGTGGAATTCCTGCCCATGTGTCTCTTCAGATGCTGTAAGGCAGATGGAAAGGACAAATGGTAATGGAAAGGCAAACTGCCTGACTAGAAGGCAAGTGAGTTGTATAAATGCCATTATTGTGAACATCTTGTTAATGTACTTAAAATTCACTGCCATGTCACGAGCGACAGCTGGACACGCTGGAAAGGGACTTTCCGCAGTGCCGATGATGAGACACTCTAGTAAGACGCTGAGATGGAGGTATTGTTGAGAGCTCCTGAATCCCTGGGCGGACCTGGCATGATGAACCCCAAAACGAAGGGAGGATGTTCAGGCGAGTATACAAGTGTGTGTATTTGTAGACTTTCTTCTCCAAAATGGAAAACAAATTTACCTCTTTCCTTTCAAAAGGATAGCCATATGTGTCAGAGTTCAGAAAAAGATGCGGTATTTTGAAGAAGTGGGTTCTCTTAATACTTACGTTTCTGTTTCTAAGTTAGGATGAGTATACAGCTGTCAGTTGTGTCGCAGGAGATTTCTTCTCATACATCAATTCATTGCAAGCAAACCAAAATACTCAATCTGTCACCTGAGTAAGATGGTGACACAGGCTTTAGTCCTTGGAAGCAGTCCAGTAAGGGGCCACGTGAGCTGAAAGCATGATACATTTCGAACTTCTGAAGTAAACCTCCTTTTAAAAGCGGTAGTTCAGTTCTACAGCTCAACCAGCCCCCTTCGCTCTAAATGAGCAAAACGAACACCTGTGTAATACATGGTAGACAGAGGAAAAAAAAGTGGTAGATGCTGAATCTGTAGCTCAGAGGTTCATTTTGTTTTGGAATGCGGAATGTGATGATACCTACCCCCTTCGGTGGAGTTCCTGTATGGAGGGAACAGCCCGTGCCCCTTCACTCCCTGCGAGAGATGTTCTGAGGCTGAGACAGAACAGAAGGGCTGCAGCGAGAGCCGCAGGTCATGAGAATAGGAGATAAGAGGTGTTGCCTTTCTGAAAAACCTACTGCCATCCGGGGGGGTGGGAGGGGTGGAGGGTGGGCGTTGGTTTGTTTTCCCCCAGCTGGGACCCCCTATCCCTGTCAGCTCATGTACTGGGAAAATGAGACCTACGAGGGCTGCCATGCAGAACAGTTGCCCTTTCTGAACGGTGTTAGTTCTGGTGGGGAGTTTTTAAACTGTTTTACAAATGGTTCAGAGTGGTCCCAGCTCAAAGCAGCACTCCTGTGAAAGGCATGAGACTTACGACTCGGGAAAACCACGTACATGCTAAAGCAGAGCACTAGTGCTATAACTCTTTAAGGCTTGACAGCTCCAGCTCCATAGCACAGCGGTGTTGTCCGGTAATACATTCATTCAAGAGTTGCACTACTTACTTAACTTTGTTAACCTGATGGTAGTATTTCTTCCCTTGTGCTTTGTAACTTTGAGAACACAGTACGGAAGAAAAGAGTCTTAATTTGCTCATGGAAATCAGCCAAGTTGTGAAGCAGTACCAACGCTTTTTGAGGCTTAACCACTCATTTATTTATGTTGCAGGTGTTTAGAGTTAAGTCTCCTTCTTGCTGTGCAGGTGCTCGGTTTACAGTTTCGTAAGTAGGGATGCACAGAGCGCGTGCTAACAGCTGCCAGATTTCCATCTGCGTTGCAATTCATACTATGCCTGTGCAGTAAGGAAGAACTGCCGTGTAGCGTGTCCATCCTACTCCTTGTTTGTTTGGGTTGTGTTTGGTTTTTTTTTTTTTTCTAAGAAGCTAAACTTCAGCCTCATACACCACTTCTATTTGAACTACGTTAATGAAGGGGCCGGGGCTATGTCCATGAAGTGGAAAGAACATTAATTTCCACATACACGGAAGAGGAGTTTGTCTACGACTGTTTGAAGACTTGCTTCAACAGTTCCTCTTGTCTGTGCAGTCACCACTCCTGTGCTAGGGTCTCAGCGGTTTCCCGTTTAGCCATGTTTGACAACCGCCCCTGTGTCATGTGTTTTCTTTCACTACGCTGCATTCTTAATTCAGATGCCTCTGTAGCTCTAGCATCGCCTCTGCCTTACGTGGTTATGTTGTCATGATGGTAGCTCTCTTGTGGTACGGTCCTGGAAGGCAATGCTTGGGGCTCCAGGGATGTCAGTCACCGCCACTCATTCCGGATCAGCAGAGCAGCTGCCCTGCTCGAGTGTTTCGTGGCTCCGCGCCTGCCTGAAGCACCCGGCCAGTTGTGACACATCCCCTGCTTCTATCATCCTTCCTTGGCTGGGTATCCGGCAAGTGTTTGGGATCCTACGCTCTAATGACACCGAGCTTGAGGAAGTAAATGCCAAGTACAAACCCACAAGGCGCTAGAACAAAAAAATTAAAAAACAGAAAAAGGAAGCTTGAGCAGCATCCCTGTTACCTTCTGCTGACGTGTACCACGCTGCGCTGCTGGTTTCCGTTGTGTTTTTTTTCAAGGCAGTTCAGTGTTAGAAATGTTTCTTCTCCCACCGCAGTGCTGTCAGTTTATTGGGACAACTCTTGAGTTGCTCCTGTCACAGACCAGCTGTAAGGACACGTATGCGAGTTAACTCAAAGATCTCGTTAAACTTGGGATAATCTTTTCTTAAGGGGGGTGTGTGTGGTTAGAAATCCTAGCTTTCCTCCCTCACTGTAACATTTAAGCTGAACGCGGATAATTCCAATCACTCAAACAGTAACCGTGCTCAGTCTAATGCCAGGTAGTTAAGCTTCCCTTTTTTTTTTTCCCTTGTCATTCTTCTGACAATTTTTGCAAGTAAGAACAATGAAAAGCGAAAAAAGAAGTAGTATCCTGCATCAAACACGCATGGCAAACCGCTGTTTTATGTAACTAAATATAGATGCACATGTGAGCACAGTCTAATAAACAATTTACGTGTTTATTTGAAAAATGTGAACAGTACAAATCAGCATGGGCAGGCTGGGCCTACTTAGCAATAGTAAGCCAGTACTTTCGTAGAATTTTCTTCTGAGACTTCACATAGTACTGCTGTCAGATACAAAAAGCACATCATGTACAAGTGCTAACAATTTTTATGAGTGGAAGGGGCTGTAAAAGTGTAAAGTGCTTGAAACGGAAATCTGCCTTTTTAGTTTTTGTTTTGCATATATAAAATGTCAAATTACTCGAGTAACACAAACGTCTGGTAGTGATATCTTCCTTGCAAGGCACACTCAAGCCCGAGAGACCTGAAACCAGGTCGGGCAGCTTTGTTGAGGCTCGCAGGCACAGCTCATGTTTGTGATGCTCCTTTGTCCTTTTCCGAAGCGTGCTATCTGGAGGCTTCAGGACACCCTGAATTTCATCATCTGGCTATTCAGGGTAGCTGACCTGGTTTATCCACGGGCGTGAAGGCAGCCAGCATCCTGTCCGAGGTGTGGAAAAGTGACTTCACAGAAGTTGAAACCGACGGTAGCCCTCAGGGTGGAAAGCAGTTTTATTTTGACGCTTCTGAAAAGGCTGCATGTTTACAGAGAGGCACAGGGAAGTCAGCTTTGGGCCGCAGCCTGAGTGTCCCTTTACCAATTAATCAACTGCCTTAGTTTTCTTAGTAAGAAACAAACAAGGTATTAAGATCAAGTGCCAAATTTCAGGTCAACTAAAAATTTGTTTTTAAAAAGCAGTAACTCCAAAGTAAACACAGTATTAAGTACACGCTTTCTCATCTAAATTATTTTTCCCGTCTGGAAGGTCTGAAGGCAAGCTGATGGTAATCACAGGTAGAAAGCCAACTTGATCCAGGAGAAGGACGCCTCTGAAAGGAAGATAACCTGGCATTAGAAAATAATATACAAAACGAGCTTGTGCTCTAAAAGTTAGATTTATTCTCAAACTCCCCAGACTTAGTTTAAATCGATGCATCAAGTAAGTATTACCCTCATAATAGCTCTTTTACGAAGCTAGAATGAAAACCTGATGGAAAACTGCTCCCCAAATGTACCAGCTGTGGTTTCAGAGGGGCCGCTTCACCCAGTTTCTACATCTGAAATATCAGCAGCGTGGGCTCTTTATGTTCCATTTCCTAGTAGCCCAAAACTGCCTGCCCTCAGGAGCTGCTTTGCCAGGCTCTTGCACCTAATTCTCTAAGACTAGCTAAAGCCTCTAGTTTAATCAGGGCGCTGTAGAATGGCATTAAGGACTTGGGATTCACCAAATGAGACCACCCGCTCATTCTTGTTAGAATTAAACCTTTACTGCTTTTTACGGGACCGCTTTATACAGGTAGCAAGAAAATGACTGTGTGGGTTTTGGGTTTTGTTGGGTTTTTTTTTGTAAAGGGAGGGAGGCCCATCCTTCCGGTGTTACAATTTCTTGAAATGCTCTGACAAGCCATGCACAAGGCCCACGTTCTCCAGTTGGAAATTACTGCAGGCTGGTTCCTCTGCTCTGTACTGACCTCTGCCACGGACAGGCCATCACAGGCTTTGCTGAACAGTTTATGGGGATTAGCATTTTTTTCCTCGTTCTTCTTAGTTCAGAGTTTCACACGTGGCAGTGTTAAGCTGCTTATTGCTGTGGGCGGTACACAGTGTCTCACTTTTCCTGCTCTAACAAGTTAGTTACAAGAAGTACTCCAAACTGACAGCGTGCTTTGTGAAGTGTCGGGGGAAGCATGGTCTCTTTTGTCACTGCAGTTTCCAACCTTCCTGATCTTCCAACCCTCCATTTTTCTAGCTCTGTCAGAAGGACTAAGGCCACTCGTATCCCTGGGCGGATACCTAAATTAACCGTGCTCAGGGCCATTCAGAAGCACAGCTGGTCACTTGCATTTGAAGACATCAGCTGTTCTTGTTGTGGGTGATGAAGCACACTACGCTGTCAGTCACTTCTCCTGAAAGAATGTATGGTTCCAAGGGTAGGTCTTCCAGAATTGACTTGGGTTGCTTTAAAATGTACATGCTTGCCCATTCCAGCACTAAATCTATCCTGGTTTCTTAGCTGCAGTTACTAATTCACCTTTCCACCCCTTGTTTTGAGAGCTTGCTTCTCTGAAAAATATTAGTGTTGCTGGCAACACACCGATGGAGTGAATGAAGTCATCTGCAGTCAATCAACTTTATTTGTGACCTTTTGCCACCGATGCTAGCACCAATTACTATGGCTTGTAAGCTGCCTACATAGGCAGCTCCTCCTTGGAGAATTCCCCTACAAATTTGCAAAGCCAAATTTGGGGCCTTTCATAATTACTGTAATAACCCCAACACAGTAGGAGTATGAAAAGATTTAGAGTTGTTAGAATTGTTTAGCTCTAGCTTCTACCCTCCTCTCTCGGAGCTATGTTAATGGTGTCTCCCAACGTAGTCCTTAGAAGACTTGATGAAAATTTGGCAGTATGACAGCCAAGCTAAAGACATTTCCAATGAAAGATTTTCCCATGTTCCTCTGAAATGCCTATGTGTCAAAAGGTCACTTGGAATGGAAAGTTACTGGCAGCCTTTTCACTGAATCGTTGCCATCATCTTCCTACAGAACAGGGCTGCTTCTTGAAAGACTTTTTAGTTAATATTTTGCCTTCATCACAGAAAAAAAAGATAGCAAAAATTACTTACTTGTTTTCACAAGAAGGGAAAATCACCTTTAAGACTTTGAGAATAAGAGCTGCTCCAACAACTCCAACTACAATGACTTCCATCAAACAAAAGAAGATGGGTAAAGATCGAAACCAGAATCTGCACAACCCTTTTCTCAAGTCTTCCACCCACTGGCACATCACCTACAACCAAAGAGGTAAAAATAAAAAGACGGGTTGCAAAACATAGCAAGTGCAGTTTTTGTAGCTACTGGTGAATCGCATTACATGGTGACAGTTTTACTTAAATGTGTGCGTGCTTAAACATACGTAAAAGCAGGATGGAACTGACCGGCGACTCGGACCTCTTTATTCTACAAAGTTTGGAAGGTTTAGTTCTCTGCTCATCCTAGCAGAGTTCCCTGAAAAGAAAGGCCACTTTGGAAAATAAAGGACGCTTGAACAGAGCAGGTGAAGGGTGAGCTATTTGGCCTAGGCGTAGAGAAGCCGTGACACCATGGCAGTGCACAGCAGGGAAAGGGTTACTGACAGCCCGGGAGAGGGGTAGCACCTTCTCTAGCCTATCCATAACTTTCAGCTTACTATTTTGGCCCTCCTGTCTCAGCAGTAGGTTATAAAGCGTTTCTTTCAGCCACAGAGGCGGCCATCGGGCCCATCCTTACCTAATCTGGAACTGAAACTTCTCAAGCTGTTACGGTGTTTCTTACAGCGGGTGGGACCAATGGCCCATCTCCCAGAGGGGTAAGCACTCAAGCAGAGTCAGAAAAAATGGATGTATTTTAAAGCTAAACAATATTTGAAATTGTTATAAATGCTTAGCTTGGTACAATGTAAATATCACAACTCACTGTCATGAAGTGTCTGTGAGGTCAGAAGGTTGCAGGATTTAGAAACCCATTTGATTCCTACTGGAGTAGAAAAAACCCAACAATTTCTCACTGCTAAGGGGTAATTCAGGAAGTTTGTTGTTTTTTTAAGTTTCCTAGAGTATGTCTGTAAAAGTCTGTTCTTCTTAGTGGTTGGCTGTGGGGATTTCTTAGACTTCTGTGGAAGTCGGTTACCGTCAGATACCTCACACAATAGAAAATCCTGGTCTTTCACAAATACAAAGCAGCAAAACAGTACTCAGAAGTCAATACTAGGTTAAGTAGGAATGGCAATTCTGTCTTCCGGAAATTGGTTATTACACACTACGTTGCTTTTTTTCAAATTAAAAATAAAGGACCACAGACAAAAGCCTAGGAACGTTATATACCTTCTTACCATCTTTAAATGGATGTTGTGTTTGGTCTTTACATGAGGAAAACCCGCTCTCTGAATCCTAACAATGCTGGGTTTGTTTGGTTTGTTCTGTAAAAATCCACAAAGGAGGAAAACATAGTATTTGTATGTGTTTCTGTAGACAATACTAAAAATGGGGAAGGAAGTTTATTCCCTCAGACTGTAATACTGAATAACTTTCAGCTCTATCTGCAGCATGTTACTACAACTTTTCCTCCTAGAAATGTCACCAAGCTGTATGCATTTCATCTCTGGGGAAATCTCGTCTTCCCTTTTTAGACCAGTCTTTAAAGGTATATACTAATAATTCAAACAAACACACACCAAAACTACCTTGTAAGAAGATGGAGGTTCTATCCTAAGAGGGGTCTCTGGTAACTTGCCAGGTAATGTCTCTTCATCTACTGTAGTTTCTACTTGCCGGACGAGGTACTGACTGGTAGTTTGCAGTGGATCTTGAGTATCTGAAGAAGAAAAGCTAGATTTAGTGGGGGGGCTTGCTTTTTATTTGACTCGCTATTCAGGAAAACAAAGACATGCTGCATTTCTATAGTTATGGTACAGTTCTCACACATTTACATCAAGGACACAGAAGGCTGACTTTTTTTTTTTTACTTCAGTAGTGAACTTGGTAAGAAGCAGAAGCAGTGTTACAGCGCAGCCTTTAGCTGTGCCCTTAGCTGTAAATTTCGGCTGTCGCCAGATTAAAAGGTGATGCACTAGATCAAAATATTCCTTTCCTATGAAATCCTTAAGAGTTTTTGATTAAACAAAACAAATAAGATTAAGGCATCAAATAACTTCTCTTGCTTTTAAGTTATTCAAGTTTAATAACATAAAACTATTCTCTGGTTTGGAAGTGACCCAGACAGGTATTTCCTCTCCAGTTTTCTCTTTCATTCTCAGAAAAAAGGGGGAGCTTTAGAGAAACTTCCATCATAGCACTGTGAGAAAAATTTATTCTTGTGGGACGTCTGGGTCGCAGATTGACAAGTACCAAGTGCTTCAAAGGAGAGCAGGTTTGAAAACAAACAAAATACCTAGAATGTAGAAGAGTTGAATTTAGGCATTTAAAAAAAACCCCAAAACAAACCACGTAAAACAAAACACTTCCCTGTTAACGAAGGAACTGTTTCACTATGTAAAACACAGGAATAACGATGTTCTTTCACCCTTGTAAAGCAATACATCAACTATGGATAAAAATATTATGTAACAAGCTAAGAGAGATACCTTTTCCTGAGAGGTTGGGAAGTGTAAATAACATGTCGTTGTCCCTTGGGATAGAATACAGCATGCTCTCTTTCAAAGGGACAGTGTACTTGGAATGTCTCAGTA